CCCCATCACAGGACATCTGCATAGCAGCCTTCTGGTCGTCCCCATGCTCTTTCGTCCGTTTCTACCTGCGGGATGTCTCCCGTTTCTCTCTGACTCACTCAGTACTGAGTGTTTTGGCTGAGTGATTCTCCTTGTGAGTGTGCAGTGCGCCCTCTCCCACGGGACGGTGTGGGGGGTCCAGCCGCTGCTTACGTGGCCCTGCCTTGTGCACAGCTGATGCGGTTGCTGTCTTGACCCTGCCTGCGTCTGTACAGCTGCAGGGCCCTCTAAGTTGAAGGCCTCACTGGAACTTGGTTCTCAGTGCTGAAGAAAAGGCATTTGGGAGCTACAGGCTGGGTCTCACCGTTGTGTATATATACAAGGTGCGGACTAGGAGAGGTCCACGCTGTGGGTGGGCGTAGACTAAAATTCTCAGTGCCGCGCAGGCGCGTGGAAGGGGTAAACCCAATAGCGATAGCCTTAGAGGGCTTCGCCAATACTCATAGAATCTGGGTTACAGTACGTAACCCCCGTCACTCTAATAGGGACACTTGCTACTGAACATAGAACATTTATGCTGTCAAGAAAAAAGTTTCTGCTGATACTTCTTCAGAAAAAAAGAAAACAGATTTAACTTTGTTAATCTGTTGCTCAGAAGGAGCCTGAAGGACTCTAACTTGTTTTAACAATCTAGATTATAGGTAATGCCCTGGCAATGGCAAATAGCTTTGGTTTAATATTTGATTTGATTACATTAATGTTTAAGTTGAGATTTACAAGAAATGTTTTATTGCTACTGTGTAAAGCAAATACTGCTGGTAAAAAGCACCTTATTTGTTTAAAGTGTTTGCAAACCTCATGTTATTGCAATTTTGTGTATATAGCAGTACATTTAAATTATAAGTGTGCCATGCACTAGAAGTCATTATTCAATTTTGCACACAACAATGCGATTAATCCCGATTAAAATTGTTGATTGTTTCCCAGCATCTCTCTCTCTCTCTCTCTCTCTCTCTCTCTCTCTCTCTACTTTTTATTTGCAGATTTGTTTTAAAATGTATTTTCTTTATTTTATTTATAGAATCCCTTCCTCTTGCAACAGAATCTAGTATGTCATTCCACTAATCAAACGTTACACTATTCCACTTGACTTCAGGCTTCTTTTTTTATGCCACTGCACCATCACCTGAACAGTAAAAGAACGTATGAATAATTAAAAAATAGATGAAAGTAAAAAGAAACAGGAACATTTAAAACATCAGCCTTTGCATCCGTAGCAGGATTTTGCTCAGCTAACACAAAGGTTATCCAGTATATTCTCCAGGATGGATGGATTTAAATAGGCAAGTAGGTTGAGCAAAAACTTGCTATATCCTAAAACCCATAGACTGCTGTTCCCTTCAACCCATTCTCACTCCCCAACTTGTCACATATGGACCCATCAGCAGGGTGCGAACTACGGGGGAGCCAGAGGGAGCTTAGCTCCCCTTAATAAGACATTAGCTCCCCTAAAAGCATAATTTGTGATATTTTGGGGGGTCTCTAGAATATTGACAGCATGCTTTAATTACATTAATCTTAATCTCTATATTTCTCCATCATCATGGATCATGCTGAGCGTCAGACATGTTAACTGATATAGTTATTTTAACCCAAACCATGATCTTTTCCTAAACCAAACCAAGTAGTTTTATTGCCTTAATCTAACCAAAGTGCAATGTTTCACAACTTTAATAACTTGCCGTTTCAAAATGGCGATGTATCGCAACGCTAGTGTTGCATCCGGACGTTGCATATTTATTGTTGCTAAGCATTGCTAACTTGACCACAGTCAGCCAAAGTCCTAAACGTGATGCTAAAGGGGTACACAGGGCATTAAAAAGCGACGCCAAAGGGACTTGACCAAGCGTCAATATGTGACGAGTGAGAATGTGTTGTTCCCTTAGAGGAAAGAGTTGGACACATATGACAGAGCTGCCCCACAATCCAAAAATCCAGACAGACAAACCAAATACTCTATCAGATCTGATATTTCTAATTTAAATACTAACATGTCATGTTTGCCTCTGTCCTTAATAAAGTGCCACACATCTTAGCCATTTTAAAGTTGAAACTACCTTAACAGTACACATTACTGTTTTCTGATATAGATTTAAATGGGAGTCTGTTTTGGTTGGAGGTATATTGACCAATGTGAATAGTACTGTTTATATTTTATTTTTATGTAAATATTATTCCCATCATAACTGGTAAAATCTGTGATTTCGTTGATGCAGGAACTATGATGTACACATTGTAATCTATGTTTTTGCCACAAGATTTGGCTGGAGAAGCTGACAAACATTTCCCATCTGCTGACAATCTCCCATTTTGAGAAAAGCCATTAACATTATCTACCCTGATATAAGAGACAGCAAGACTACGTCATTTCAGAAGCTTCTGATGTACTTGTTTTCCCTGATCAGTTTTCTCTGTCTTGTTGGGAAACAACTTTTCTTCATCACATGCTGATCAAAAGTCTGGCCTGCTCATGGTTAGCACAGGGCAGATTTTAGTTGAAACAAACATCTAACAAACCACAAACTCCCTGTCTTCATCTGTCATTCACACAGCAAGGTCAAAGGATGCTTTCTCCTTTCCACACATATTCCCCCTCCTCCCCTCAGACCTTCAACCCTCCTCTCTCTGTATCACTGTTCACTTGTCTACTTCTCTGACCCTTACAATCTCCTCACACAGCTCATCTTTCCATTTGCACCCTGACCTGTTCTCTTCAGCCCGAGCTCATCTCTGGTGACAGCACCCGATTGACATTAATGACACTACAGAATAGAAAGGTTAATTAAGACCAACTGTTCCCTGCCCATTCCTAAGCACCATCTGCTGAGCAGGGCCAGTCAAACAGATACAGACTGACACCTTAGTGAGACAAATACTGCAGTGAGGAAATGTGTACTTATCAGATCATTTGTAGTACTGTATACCCTTTCAACAAACACACTTAGCAACTATAAAGTTATTTAAAAAGCTTTTGTAAATTTGAATGTGTTTCAGAAAAATTAATGGTCACCATCTCGTTTTAAAAGACAATTTTATCTGTGTTGAAAATAACATGTACAGTTCTGGTTGAATAATAATATTTTACAGTATGTGTCAGAATTCATATCTTACAGTCACATACAATTTTGCCACCATATTGTGACCTGACAGTTGCATGTTGGAAGCACATGATGTGATCCATCAGAAGGAACTGATAGCACACTGGTGAAACAGTGGCCCTATGGTGATGCAGAAATCTGCACATTGCTGATAACCTTGAGGGAGAAACATGGGACAAACCATTATCTTTAATAAAAAAATATTAAACAAAGAACGTCGTTTACTGGTTGTGTCTCAAACTGTTTCTTCTGATTTTGAGTATTTATTTTAACCTTTTCTAGCTGTCAAGATGGAGATTTTCAAGTGGACAAAAAGTGCATGTTTGTGTTGTTTTATTTAATTTGTGACAAAAAAGAAATTGCATTGGGATGTGGGTAAACATTTGTTGATGCTCTGTCATGACTAAGTAGCTATCAAGTTGCTTAAGCAGTCCAAACAAGGCTGCAGGGTGCAAATCCTCAGCATGCTTAGAAGAAACTAAGGTTGCAGTAAAACACATAAACAAAGTGATGACAAACATCTAAATATGGAGACTGGAGGGGATTTCAATCTCTCTTTATCTTCACTTTCATTTTCTCTCTGTCTTTGTCTCCACTGGGATTCTCCGCTTTGATCTTTGAACCTGTAAAATTCACACGGAGAGAGTGCTCTTGACAGTAAGAAGAGGCAAGTGTTGTGCGAAGGCAAAGTGAGGGGGTGAGTAGAGGATTAGATATGCAGAACATGGATGTCAAGGGCAAAGGAGGCAGATACAGCTGGAGGCAGCCTATCTGAATATGGTTAGCTTTGGAACGGCTCCTAAACTAAACAACAATGTTCCAAATGATGAAATGATTGGGCGAACACTTGCAAAATGCATCAGGAACAATTCCACAGTTCCCCAGTACATCAAAGCTGTGGATGTGTTGTAGGCATTTATTTTTGGTCTACAGGAATAAACAAGGATCAGCCATGAAAAAAGAAAACACTTAATAACAAACACTACTGCCACAGTGGACTTTATTAGGTTGCGTGCCAATTATGAGTATTTATCAAAATCCTCTATTGGGATTTTTCAGTTTGTGATTGGTGTGCCCCTCTATTCATGTGATTGGTCTGTGTTTAGCAAGACTGCTCTCCTTAGCAGTTTTTTTTATCTTTGATATATACATGCAATGTGGGAGAGGGGGTTCTGAAAACGCAAACGTCAGAGTGACGTGGCACAGACCTCAAAACTGTTGACTGACATTCAGCCTAATGTAACACAAGTTTGTGGTGGTGTTTGTAGCTGTGAAGTTACTTCAGAGTTAATGTTCTCTTTTATAAAGTGCCATAGTCTATCGATTATGATTGCCATGTCACTGTTTAATAAAATATACTACAAACAAAATGTCTTAGACAGAATAGAAAGAGTGCAATGTTAACATAGCAACGAAAATATGGTACCGTGTTCTTATAAGGCATACTATGTAAAAAGTTTCTACACTGTAAATTATGGCTTTATTATTGGTTTATAAACAATTTAATGATGCTTTACAAATCATTAGTTAAAAATCATTTTGACTGGTGTGTATATGTGACAGGGCCAGAAAATGGCAGACTACTTTTTATGCTTCTGGTGTGTTTTAATTTGTGTGCTGTGCCTTTTTACCTTTTCTTTGTAATTTGTATTGATGTTTTTATCGCATGTGGTGTGTTTTAATGCATGTGTGTGATTTTAAGTTTTACTTACTGGCTGGACTGCCCTTAAACCTCTCACCACTACTGATCATATGTTAATGAGCAACAGGTGTGGCAGCTGACGACCGATTGGACAGGACTCCTTTTATAAATGAAGCAAGCAACAGTAGTAGTAAGAGAGATCGGGGGGAAAAAAGAGAGACGGAGAGAGGACTAGGATGTAGGCCGGTGAGGAGCGTGACGGCGGGGAGGCCGGAGGAGATGGAGGTCCGGTGAAGAAAAAGGCAAGAGATCAGCAGGGAAGGTCGGCCAGCTCGTTGAGCGCTGAGCAGGGGGCAATCGAGCAGGAGGATGGCAGCTACGAGAGACCTGTGGGGAAGTAATTGTTTGGACGGAACCGGCGCGGCAGCCGAGACAACGCAGCAGCGGGCAACCGTGAGAGCAGTCGCTATAGAGATTACTAATGTGTCGTCATCAAGACGTATTACCAGTGGTGAACGCAAAGCATTTTGGTTTCAATCGTTTAGATGGTAGGTAGGTAGGTAGGTAGGTAGGTAGGTATGTATGATAAATTGATTAAATTATTAATTTTAGTTAGTAACATTTTTATAATTATTATTACTATTATTTATTTTTACACTTTTCTCTTAACTCTTCCATGGACTCCAGATTGAAAACCCCTGAAAGAAAATGAAAATACTGTAGTCTCATACTTACTGGTGACTGTTTGCAGGCAAACCTGCCTATGAAATGTTGGAGTGTGATCCTGACTGGGCCCCTTCTCTGTACCTCGGCCATACTGAAGTCAAAGCTACAAACACAGACTGGTTCAAGCGGTTTAGGAGAAGAGCGACGAGGTCACAACAACAGCAACCCCCATCGCCAGGCACTGACCACACTGGTCCTGAGGCTGAGTTGGATAATGCAGCACCTTTATACCCAGGTAAATAGTAAAAGAATACAATATATGTTGTCCCCTGTGTATAGCTAATCTGGATTATTTAGGAATAAAGGTTGTGATATGACACAATTTCTTTTGTTACTGTCAGACAACACTACACCTGCAACTGAGATGGAAGGTCCCGTGAATCAAAGGTAATTGACATTAACTTACCTTTGTGAAAATGCTTTGAATACATCATCATGTGTGGTGGAGTGTTATCGAAGGTAATCTTGGGCCTCCTTACTGCTGCTATCCATGCCATTCGTCACCTTTTTGTCAACGCTGAAACATGGCTTGTACTATTATTTTTCCACGCTGGAAACCAGTACAATGATATTCCGTTCTTAAGCTTTATGCCACTTCTGCCAGGCACTGTCCACACCGGTCATGAGACAGAGTTGAATGAAGCAGCACATTTATTCCCAGGTAAATATTGGTAACAGATGCAAGTAGACTCAATATATTTTACGTCCAATAAAGTACAGAGATTTACAGTTTATTATTCTTGTTGTTACAATCAGACTACTCTGCACCTGTGGCTGAGATGGAAGGACAAGAGACTCGGCCCTTACCACCAGCCCCAGACAATGCAGGGAGAGAGGAAGATATGGAAACTGAAACATCAGGGGATGATGGTGCTGCAATGGGGAATGCAGATGAACAGCAGAAGTGCACCATGTGTGGCCTCAGACTCAAAGAAATAATCCGCTTGCAGGAGGAAAATCGAAAACTGAAGGGAGAGCTCTCCAAGAAGGCCCTGGATGAGAATTTTCTCAAAGACAATGATTCAAAGGTGAAGTACTACACTGGCCTTCCATCTTTCAGTCTATTGATGGGTGTGCTGATGCAAATCATTCCCAGTCTACCAAAATCAAAAACAAAAGAGAGAACTCTCCCATTTTCAAATACTCCTCCTGACCCTTATGCGCTTAAGACTTGAGCTACCTGTTGAACATGTTGCACCTCTTTGACATTAGCCGACAAACCGCATCCAATCTGTTCATTGAGACCATCAATGTACTGCATGCACACCTCAGCCCTTTGGTGTACTGGCCAAAGCAACATTGTATACAGGCAAGCATGCCACATCAGTATGTAGAGATGTTTGGGAATCGTGTTACTGTTATTGACTGCTTTGAGCTTTTCATTGAAAGGGCACAAAATCTACGTGCAAAAGCACAGACATATTCAAACTACAAAAGCAGGCACAGAATGAAATATCTCATTGGCACAACACCACAAGGTACTATTTCTTTGTGCCAGTGATAAGCAGATCACCGAGAACTGTGGCTTTCTTCAGAAGCTCTCGCCTGGAGACGTAGTGTTAGCGGACCGTGGATTTGATATTAAAGAAAGTGTTGCCCTTGTGGGTGCTACACTGAAAATACCTGCCTTCACCAGGGGCCACAGCCAACTTAATGCAAAAGATGTGGAACAGACCAGGAAGTTAGCTCATGTCAGGATCCACGTGGAGCGAGTGATAGGGTGTACGTGCTCTAAGTTTAACATATTAAATGACACCATACGCCTGGGATTTGTGGTGCCTTGTGAGTGGGATGATAAGACTTTGCTGGATAAAATTGTGGTTGTGTGCTTTGACCGATATTTGTCCAAGTATTGTTGTGAAGCCGTCGTGTTAGAATTATACACCATGCTCACATCTAATATGTAAATGTTTTTTTGTTTTCTAAATGATTTTGTAATGTCACTTCTCACATGTAATGATTTTTAGCCATCTCTGTAAATAAAATACACAAAGACTGAATGAAATTCTGCCTCCTTTATCTGTATTAAGGAAGAATTGTGCAAAATCAGTGTTCTTTGGTTGCAAACACAACATATAACACATAACTTAAATAGTAGTAACAACCAACTTAATTTTAGTTTCTTTACATATTTAACATGTAAATACATTTAGATGAAGACATTTACATTATAAAGAGTCCATAGAAAAGATAACTGGAAATGTATGAGGTAGGTTGTAGGTGATAACTCACGAACATGTGCAAGCATCGCATTGCCATGACTCTTCTCTGCCTGGTACACTGCTGAGTCCCACGCAACCTAAATGGAACCACTGTATAGGACAGTTCTGATTATCACAAGCAACCATGTCATCAAGCTCTTCTGGCTGTCTGCAAAAGCACCACAACACAGCCTTTTCACATGCCCTTCTTTTGGTCTGGGGGGTGTTACCCGGCGGAAGTGTGGCCAATGGTGTTTTGATTGTGTTTTTTCGTGCTCGTTGGCACAGATAGCTCAGCTGAAGGGGGGGTGCTGGTGGGACAACCTTGTGCTTGGGTGTTTTACCTGGCTGTAATGCCCAAAGTTCCACGTCAGGCATGACACGCACAGTTGCAAGGCTTTTGGTCGTCCAAACAACAAAGTCACAGAACTGTGACTCGGTGACAAAGATCTGAGTTTGTACCTGTTTGTACTACTTGTGGGTCTGCTTCAACTCCATCCTTCCTTCTGTGAACTGCAGACAAAACTCCTTGTCAGTACATGCCTGCAGAATGTTATGGTCCTGGTGCTTAAAAGGGCATTTAATCTCCACACATCCTTTCCCGCAACATGCACAATGCACAAGTGCATCAGGAGTCGCGCCTATTTCAGGGAAAGAAGGGTTGATTATGAATCCACATTGTTCCACTTTCATGTCCCTGTGCCGCAGCTCCATCTGTGCGATGTAGGAGACCATTGCCGTATCCTCTTTTTCTCTCCCCCATTTAATGGCTTCTGGGCCATTGTCAGTCTTTCTCAGTGAAGGTTTCTGTAGATAGCACACCTTCTCCCCAGTTGACTTTGCTGGTCTGGTTATGGAGGTGGAGACAACAGCGTGTATGATGGAGGCGCAGCTACCTCTGTGGCTGTCACTGCCACAAGGTGTGTCAGGCCCTCACAGTGTTGAAGCAGGACGGCCAAGTCACAGCCATCCATTCGGGTCGGGAAGACACAGCAGTGACTTGGGCAGGACACATGGCTGAATGGGGTCAGCATAGAGGTGGCAGAATTCCTCCATTACAGAGCACAGGCCGGACCTGTGTGCATGCATGAGTTCTGTGAGGGGTTTTAAATCGGCAAGTGTCTTCTGCGGTAAACATGTGCTACCTGAGCGGGTCCGGATCTTGGGTGCTGTGCTGGTGTCTCCACAGAATGACCCATCGATTGCATTTTTTTGGGCTGAGCTTGCAGTAAAGTCAATAGTATGGCCATGCACTCCCTGCACTTTGGTTATATTGGAGTACATCACCCAGTACGCTTCAATATCTGTTGGAGTCACATTTCCCCACAGACGCACAGCAGTATCGATCTTGTACAGGAGGACTGCCACATGTGCGCACTTCTCTGCCACGCCAGCCATACAAGTGCAGTGAGCGCTCTCCACTTCCCCACATGCTGTAAGTATGACCCATGGCTGTAGGGGCTTCTGGCTGAGTCGCATGGAGTGATTCACCTAAGACAATAAAAGCATTAATAATAGCTTGTAGAGAAATACAAAACAGTACTAGCAAGAGACATTGAGCTATTTGATGCATGCAGCCAATCAGGGGTACAATGTGGTTAGAAGTGGGCTGGGGATGGATGGGCTTATAGATTTTATAGGATACCTTTTTAGAAAATGGTACAAAAAAGTTTTTTTCATTCATCATAGTGATATTCAGTAGGATAGCATGTGATTGGCCACAGCTGAGTGATCACTAAATGTACAGCTTTCCCACTCTCATGAATGGTGAGATAAGTCAGCTGCATTTTATTTCAGCTGGTGATTCCCAGTCAAGTCAACCAGTGCATGAAGCCCTCTTAAATATGGTGGTACAATTGAACAACAAAAAAAGGGGACATTCACATTTTAACATTCTTTATCTTGTTCTGTTTCTAAATGCACTCACCTTCATAAAAAAACAACCAAGCAAAGGGTGGCACATGTCTTCGATAAAGGTCGCATTTAAATGACACATTTTATCAATTCAGTCGGGTGGCTTTTGGCAGTAACTGAGGCATACAGTATAACCGGAAAATCCATTAAGCATGCTGTGCCAGAGAATACCGGAATCATCACCACTGAGAAGCATCATTGCATGCCTATTGTGCCATGCCTTCACATTGTTTCTCATCCTTTCTTTCTTATTGTCAGAGGATTAAGTGATGCCTTATACCCCATGCCAGGGCCTTTCTTCAAACAAACCATTCACAAACAGAAAAAGCAATCAGGCAAATGCAGTTAGCATACAAAGAGAGCTGAATGCACAACTGTAGATGGTGAATAGACATTTTAAGACGCACACTGCTTGTTAGAGCGATCCAGTGCATGAATATTCATTTACCCAATTTTCCTGCAGTGTGTGTTTTATTCATTTTTCACATTATGTTTGTGTTTTGCAGACACAATGGAAAAACTGCATCTCTTATCCTCCCTCTCTTTTTCAGTGCCGTGATTATATGCACATAAATTCTGCAGTCATGACTGCGACTCCAAATAATGTTAACCACCTTTCTAACAGTCCTCAGTTTTAAAAACAGCAGTGCAGTCAGGTTAGATCTCGTTAACACTGTTTGTTTTCACAGTCCATGATTTCAAGCTCAAAAGTGAAGCAGGAAAGTTTACCACTGTGATGCACTTCCCCAGCTGGGAGATGACGCGTAGGTTCTACTATCTCTAAATGCCAGTAGCTAGTATAATGAATGAGGATATTTTGCAGACGCTCATTGTTAAACTCATTCATGCTTCCCTGAGAACAGTCCTCTGATGATTCCCACAGAATTAATTTAGGTAACAAGTGAATCAAATAGAAATGCAGTTGCATTTTTATTTGCATCTTATTGTTGCCTACTTTTAGATTTTGAAATTCTTTACTGCATTAACTGTATTCTAGTGAATAACACAAACCTGCCACCAGTTCAGACACTCTTTTAATGGTAAAGGTTATTCAGAGGCTGATAAAAACTCACTTCTTCCTGAAAGACTTAACTGATGCTCAGTACCTTTCTCTGCACATGACAAGCCGACTGACACAAGACAGTTTATCGCAAAAAGAAGGGTGCATCTCCTCTGTTAGTTATCCGTTGGTGAAGTTGACATATGTGATGAAAGAACCATTACGAACACATGAGGTTAGAGACACCGGGAGAGAGGTGCCATGTTGAAAATTCATGAGATACCCATCCTGCTATCAGAAATGTTTTCCCTGCCCATCCATCCTGCATGTACGTTGTTAGATTATAGAATGGCTTTTATTCTTGAGTTAGTCCATTGACACGCGCGCATGCAACAAAGCGTAAACACATATCAAGTCCACACCCAACCACCCTAGTGGTTTGTGTGTTGAGCTGATTGTTGCTAAGCAAAGTGATCATTAGGCGGTCAAACCTTCCACCATCTAGGCAGATAAAAGCTGAGCCATAACTGTCAGAACCATTAACATTTTGTCCTCTTTTTTCTCTCTAAGTGTCGTGTTGGCTTTAATTCAGTGTCTTATCTTGAAACACTTGAATTGATTTTAGTGAACTATCTGTGTGGCTGCCTTTCCAAAAGCCACATATTTAATGTTAACATACACTTCATTAACTTATAGGTGCTGACACAGGAGGGGATGAAAAAGAACATAAATAATATCAAAAAGACTGGACTGGCTTCAGTGCTTTGCTAACAACTAATCCAACTAATAACACACCAGATTTGAATAGAAATTTATATCTGATAGCCACAAGGCACCAGCAAGACCTTGGCAACAGACTTGCTTTGTAGTTGTAGACAGTCACTGTCAGATCAACTGAAAGCTGGAATATTTGGCATTGACAGTATCTGTCCTTGCTGAAGGAAAGAATACAAATAATCCAGGCTTCTCAGAAACTACCAGCTGAGAGCATTTAGGTTTGAGCATTTTAGATTCTAAGCTGACTGAAAGGAAAGTAGTTCCTATTTTCTTGATGGCTGCCATGAAGCATTACATGGGGAGATTGTGGGTAATCTATAGATACTTCGACTGTATAAGCTTCATAAGCACAGCTTGGACGTAGCCAGGGTACTTTAAATGTGTGCAGTAGCCTGCAATTGCTGTACAACCAAGGCTCTATTTTTTTGCAGACACAAGCCCAGCAGGGGTTCAAATACAGTGGCAATGCCATTTTTTATTCACGCAAGTCTATTTTTTTGCACTTGCACCTGTGTGGCTCCAAACGAATCTTGCTTCTGCTCACTTGTGTTGAGCAATTTTGGCAAGAAAGAGCATCCACTCAGACAACCTCATTTGACAAATGCAAGGGCACAGATAATTTCTTTTTGTGTCTTAAGTTGTTGGAGGCACAGACACACATACACACACACACACACACAGACCTCTCTAACATCAGATAAACCCTTTTTATGTATGCTGAATCTTCTTGGTTCACTTTAATTCAATTTTTCTGTTACACATTTCAATGAACATCATACTCTTTAATACAGTTAAATCAAAGTATGTGCTGGCTTACATTAATGGGTGATTCTTATCAATAACATTAACCACAGCATTTTGTAGGATGTATGAGGTTGTTCCCTTTCAGCTGATTAAATACCATCATACAGCAGCAGGATTAACGTGTGCATTCCATCTCCAGTCCCTGATTTTAAAGATGCACCACGTGTAATTATACATGGGTCAAACAGCATGGCTACCTTAATTAATTAGTCAAATCTTCCGAAACTGAACAGAGATTTAACAAGATAGGTGTATGACCTTTTCTGGTTTTCTGCCGATCACAATGGTAAACTGTAAAACACAAATTTC